GATTCTTAGAAGACAGTTCTCCATGAATTTCAAGCCTTGCAAGCTGACTGACTAGAGGAAAAATATTATTTATTATTTCTGACAGTCTAGTAGAACCTGCCAATATATAGGACTAGAGGATGCCACATGCAAATAGCTTCTGTCGCAAAGAGCATACAATCCAAAACACGCAAACAGGCAGCTATGGATAGAAACACCAGGGAAGGGCAAAGGAAAAGCAAAGGATCCTCAGTGGTTTGATGGGCAGACAAGTAGGTGGACGTTTGCCATTTAAATGCAGCCACAACAGGACACAGTTCTTGCCTCTCCTGTTTTAGAGGTCTTCCTGCTGCCTAAGAGGCAATAAATGGGTACTAATGGATAATACTTTAGACTCCTAACGCTGTTTAAAATACAAGGCATTGTATGTTAACCTTGTGGAAGGAGGTCAATGCACCGTCACTGCCCATTACCTGAGCCTTCTGAGCCTTGTACTGTTTAAAATAAGGATATTGGTTTGCTGTGTTTACATAAGCACATCTTTTGTTGGAATATTCGGAAACTAACACAACAGGAAGCTTTTAAAAAATGGTTTAAGCTCACTAGTAATAGCTGAAATAGAGATCCCCAGGACATCACAGGCATACAGCATAAAACATGCATGTGCTTATACAGTCATGGACCATCCTACTGCTAAAGAGCTACATCACTGCACGCTAATGCAGGCGGACCATAAAGACGAAGGTCATTAAGAGCTTTGGTTCCAGCCTTGTAATTCAATTGGCACATACGAACCCTTGTGGGGGCCATGCCAGCCTCAGCTGAGCTCTGCGCAGCTCGAGGTTGAGCCCTCCAGCACGCAGCCGTGACAGCAGGATACAGCCCAAGCCTGCGCTGGACCTGCAGACTGAGAGGCTGAGTCACACACACAGCCCACAGGCATTACGTTTTTCTCTCTCCAAACCCAATATGTGCAAACCACGTACTTCTACCAGAAGTCCAAGATCTGAATGAAGCGGAGTTCCCTTTACCAATATATCATCGGAAAGCTGAGTGCTGGATGGTGGTTTCTACCTCAATTAGGTTAGGCCACCTTAAGGGTGCATATGGGTTTCAACTCAAATTAGTGGCTTTGGTCCATATTCATTCTGTGGTTTGGCTTAAAAATCCAAGTAAGGTTTAGAGGTAGCAACCTTTACAGAGCTTCCCACAGTCCCAGAGCAGCACAGCGCTGCTATAAATGAACCGGATTAATGGACCTGGCTATGGGAACCAGCTGTGGGACAGGCAGATGATACTTCAGGTCCCCTCCAGGCCTGTTTTTCATACAGCCTGTGCCTGATAAAGGCGTTTAAAACAAATCGAGGATCAAATACTACACGAGAACTGAATGACTGTACCAGAGGACAGACTAGACAGTGACCAACTGGCCCCACGTGAATGTGACACTGCTTTGACAGCTCCATGTAAAAAGTAATAGCCACACATAAATTTGTTTAAGCCTTGAACATTCAGAGAAAAGCAAAACCTAGAATAAATTAGTGATGCCTTGGTTCTTAAAAGCCATGGATTGGAAGTTTGCCGTTTGATTTTACAGGAGTTGGCTCCTGGAGCACGAGCCAGTGGGGAATGCAGAGGGGAAAGAAAAGGATTTCAGGGCTTGACATGGAAGTGGAGTGGATGGGTACTGCTACAACGTGCATGAGAAGGTGGGTTTTTTTCCCTGAGATTGTCTTGGTTCATCTCCTCCTCCCTTCTCCACCCCCCATTATCAGCATTTAAAACACCTCCGAGTTTTCTTGAGCAGGTTTGCTGTGCTCATTAAAATACTGTGAGCACTTATTGGCTATAATGAGCACTCATTAAATTCTGGTAAGTGCCAGGACTGTCCTGTGGAGTGGAACAGACTCACGTTCTGGGAGGAGAGCTCAGGGGTGGGAAGATACTGGAAATACTACATTTTCCACAAGAACAGAACTACAAACTTTCCGCTCCTTTTTTACTTTGCAAGCACTGGGGTAACTCAGACCTGCTAGGCAGCAGCTATTGCTTACTGAGTACCCGAATCATTCCCCTGCCCCAGAAGGACTCTCAGATCCTCTTATCAGAACAGAAACAAATTAAAGATTTTTCCATATTTGCATCTCCCCATTTGAGAATTTTCCTACATTTGTTATTTAGAGATAAAAGTCTGCCTCTAAAAATTCACTTAGCAAAGTGGTTTTCTCAGCCTCAGGGAGTGGTGCAGGAGGGATTGCAGAGCAGGATCCAAAGCAGCTGGCGAGGCTGCAGGAGCAGCAGGAGATCAGGAGATGAATGGGTGCATACTGGGGCAAGGATCACATTTTACATAGAATCATAGAATCATTTTGGTTGGAGAAGACCTTTAAGATCATCAAGTCCAACCATTAACCCAGCACTGCCAAGCCCACCACTAAACCATGTCCCTAAGCACCACATCTACCCAGCTTTTAAATACCTCCAGGCATGGGGACTCAACCACTGCCCTGTTTCAATGCTTGTCAACCCTTTCAGTGAAGAAATTTTTCCTAATATCCAATCTAAACCTCCCCTGGCTCAACTTGAGCCTGTTTCCTCTTGTCCTACCACTTGTTACTGGGGAGAAGAGACCGACCCCCCCCCAGCTCCAGCCTCCTTTCAGGCAGTTGCAGAGAGTGATGAGGGCTCCCCTCAGCCTCCTCTTCTCCAGGCTGAGCACCCCCAGCTCCCTCAGCTGCTCCTCACCAGCCTTGTGCTCCAGACCCTGCCCCAGCCTCGCTGCCCTTCTTCTTCGGACACACTCCAGCACCTCAATGTCTTTCTTGTAGTGAGGGCTCTGTTCTTAAATTTAGTTCCAATTGGTTGTGTCAGACACACACACCCTGACTAGTGTGGCCATGCCTATAACCATAAACCAGTTCCCAGTGCAGGATTCAGTGATACCATCTGTGTTTTTATCACCAAAAGCTGTTCATAGTCTACTAACATTAGAAGAAATTAATTAACTTAAACCATATACAAATATACTTTACCCTGGACTAATCACCAGAGAGCTGCAGAGGGTAAGTGACTATTTAAGGAAAATGAATCAGACAAGAGCCTGAAGATCAGTGCATCCCTAAAAAAGCCAGTGTATATCCTAGTGGGGTGGAGAGAGCTGCTGCAAGGGGGCGGTTTCTGCAAGTATCCCTAGGAGATGACCCTTCTGCAGATGGCCTGCAAAATGCAATGCATCAGGAGCAGGCTGTGAGGGAGAAGGGAGCAGAGAAGTTCACCTGGCTTCCCAAGCAGCTTGTAGAGAGTAGACTGATCACCACCAAATATCAGAAAGCATGGGACTGACATATTGAGGTTATGTTATTCTAAAGAAATAAAGTTGCATTCCTGAAAAGTGGGAATCTGAAATCCTATTATTTTGTGCTTGGGATGACACCCATACCATTGCCTCTATGATCAGCATATGACAAAGCCTTCCATCGCCTCAGAAATATCTACGTTTCAACTACATTCCCCTAAAGACCACAATTCAGCACAAAACATGTATCGAAATGGCATCAAGTTCCCAAGATGAAATAACTGGTCTGGTTAAGCATTAATGGCTCCAGTTTGGCTCACTCTTCACCCACTCACAGGAGCCTTTTGTGGATTACTGCTTTATAATTGCTTGCTCCCTAAGCACACAGGCATTGCAATCTTCTGCACACCTTGACAGCATCCTGGTTAGAGAAAACGAATGCTACGTGTTCCCTGACACAGCGTTTTGTCTGCTGGATACAGTAAGTCAGAGATTGTTTACTCAACTTCTCATGGCCCATTAATGACATAATGTTGGACACAGCTGTTCAGGGCTTCACAAGACCAAAGCAGAGAAAGAAATGCCGGGAGATTTCAAACACGCTGCTCACATCAGAGCCTGGCTGGGAAAGTCCTTTAAAGTGGTCTAGGGGAATTTAGCCTTACAGCTCTCTCATGAAGTAAATCCAGGATTAAAGCCTCAAACTGAGTTTCTCCTGAAGACTCAAATGATCTTAAAATAACTCCACCTCACCAAGGTGGCAATGACTGCTTTGAAGAAGAGGGGACCAGTCATCTCATTTTCACTCTGCTTGGTCAAATTATCTACTGAAAAACTAGGACCTGCCATATATAAAGGCTCATCAGCCCTGGAAGTGGGGTGTGCCTGGTTCATCATGTCCTGACTTCCAGTGTGTTGGAGCAGGAGAGGTGAAGCTCACCCTGTAAAAAGGCAATTCAAGGTCAAGGCACCCCCTAAGATCTCAAAAAGAGTTTGAAGAGAGTTCAAGCGATGCACAGAACGCTCCATGCCCAGAAGGCACCATCCGCCCCAGTGCAACTGACCTCCCAGTACAGCTGCCCAACATTTTTCTAGGGGCTTCTGGAAAGCTAAGCCTGACCAGGGGGTCTGTGCAGCAAGGGAGTGCTGCTGGCAGGACTGATACGCACCAACCACAGCACAACGAGGATAAAGATATGCTCCACCTAAATACCACACCCAGAGTGCCATTTTAGAAATTTTAGTTTTCTTCATGAAGCTTCTGGAACCACATCATTATGGACCAACATAAATTTTCCCTAAGAAAAAGGCAAATCTAGTTTCTTGACTTCCCAGTCATGGAGAAAAGCAGAAAAAGTGTACGAGAAAGGCTCAAACCCATTCCCACATCCCAGTTCAAAACAACCTATTTCATTCATTTTAAAACATTTTATAATTCAATATTGAAGGAGGGTGGTGTATATTGTTTACATATGTGCATGTATATATATAGCAGGTAGGAGGAACATGATTTGCAACGCTGAGCTGATTCCTCAGCTTGGCAATACTGCAGACATCTCCAGCAGAAAAAGAGGATCAATGGGTAAATTTGTTCCTCCCTGTAATAATGGCTACCCGTGGCAACTGAAACACCCCGTTATCGAAGCTGTATCTGAATTCATGCTCAGAGGAAAGATCATCACCCTCCCTCATCTTCCCCAGACCCTTCAGGGTAACCCCTACTTACAATTGTGAAGTTCATAACCTTCAGAATCCAGATGGTCATAGCAAGGTTCACCAGGATTAAAATCATTAAGAGCAGCACAAAGAAATAGAGGCATCTCTTCCTCCAGCCATAAATCCCCACTTTGTATACCTGGGGTCCTTCCGAGGTCTGCATCGTGCTCCGGTGTGCGTACTGTTCCTGAGGCATCTGAAACGATCACAAAGAAATAACCATGTGTATTAAACAGTAAGAGTAAGCTGATGATAAAACCTGCTTGTTTCTGTGCTTCTTAGAGGGTTTTGCTTTTTCTTTTTCAGAGTTTACCAGCTGGGCAGCATCTCTTTCGATATCTTGGTTCTGCATTATTTTTCTTTCTGCTTACTGTATGCAGTAACATACCAAAAGATAATTTTATGTGTTACATGTGTATATATAGATTTATAAATACATGTAAGCATGCTGTCTAAAGGTATCCTATGGAGATCACTCTCAAGTGACTCTGTTCACCGCCCCAGGTTTTGCAAGGCAGGCACTCCAGGGCCTGTAAGGATCCTGAGGGGAAAATTTTGCATGCATTTGGTAAAAGCAGTTGAGTTCAGCAGTTTGTTTTGAAGATACAATATTACTTCTCAGAGGCTTTAATTAAAAAAAAAAAAAATCTCAAATAAAATCATTCCTTCCAGCCAAAGAAAAAAGGCAAAGGGGAAATGTTTGTCTTTCTCCCTTCCCGCACCCCAAGCTTTCTTAACCAAGTAAACCTGAAGCACAAGGTTCTCCAGCTGCCACATCCATAACAAATTATCCCCAAATATCTGTGCTGGTTTAACAAGGACTCTGAGACCCTGAGTGGGCACGGCATGCTAGGACAATACCGGCGGCCAAAACCAAGGAAAGAGGGAAGGAAGGAAAGCTGGTGCTGGGGAAAGCAGTGTACCAGCATCCCCAGGAACAATTTGCTTTACAGTCTACCATGGCGAGCACTGACCCCTGCTCCTACCCCCTGGTACCCAGCTGGCTCCAGGCAGTCGGGGATCTGGCTGCCCCCACCATGGATGGAAAGAGATGGGTGCTTTTAAACGGCATTGCAGCCAGCTGGGACGGGAGTCCAGAACACAGCCACCGCACAACGGTTGCGTGCGAACGGCTGCGTGCGCACGGGGTTGGGATCGTGCAGGCATTTTGTGCTGCACAAATGAAAGCATTCATGTTCTCACCCTTCATATTCGGGGTGTGGAAAGCCACTTTCATGGGCTTCCCCCAGGGATCAGTTTCTTATGCTTTCAGACTTTTTTGACACACAGACTGATGATATCATATAATCTCTAATAACACATGGTTTGCTGAATGTTTTGCATTTTAGACTCTAGACAAATAAACCATCACCAAATGCGTTCTTGCACTACTGATTCAACACCATGGGCTTCTTCCTCAGGGTATCTGGCATTGACATTTGTATTCAGTGAATTACAAAATTCACATAACAGGAGGAAACAATGCGAGTTCCTCTCTGTGGGAGTGTGATCCGTGAGGGCAGAATGAGACAATGGTAGAAATCAGATGCTCACTGATAGCAGCTTATGTTTGTTTACCATTAGTTTCCTGTTTTTTTCCTTATTTTTTTGCTAATAGCTTCATACTCCAGCATCTAATAAAATACAGCGTGCAGTTGGCAGTGGTGCAGAGCCCATTGCAGGCTGATGCAAGGTGAGTTTCTTCATGGCATAACTTTTATTCCAGTAGCATTGCACCAGGGATGAAGTTAACACTTTATCTTTCCTGCTCCAACACTGAAGCCCACGTTTGAGGCAAGGGCTGCCTGAACAAACAGTTACCTTTTTTTAACCTTTCACTGCTCCAGCAGTCGCTAAGACCTGTGTTTTCTAACGCTGCCTGGTGTTGTCACCTGCAGCATAGGGGATCATCCACCTCTTCCTTCCTGCACGAGCCTTCACCCCTCACCCAGGCTGAAACACAGTCTCAGGTGCTAAATAAATCCCTTCAGGCACTAAATTATTTTCAGACCAGAGGCACTGACACCTCTCCCGATCTGGACCTGTAAAGCAAAGCCGACTTAGCAGCATATTCAGGAAGGCTGTGTTTAGCCCGGGAAGGCTGGTGTGCTCACACCCCTGCTCTCATCCCAACAGCAATGCTCCTCCGGAGGGTGGAGGTGCCCATCTCCACCCTCCTCTAATGTCAGCAGCTGTGTTAACCCCTCCACACTCAAAATTCACGACAGTGGCTGAAAACTGGAAGATTTAAGAAAAAAAAAATTACAATTGAGATACTCCTGTCATTTTCCTCAGTTTTCTGAACCATCGTGTTTTTAAGCATTTTTTTCCCCTTGCACGCTTGAGGGCTACAGTCCACCCAGAAGAAAAAGCAGGTCAGACTTGTGCAACAGTGAGGTGCTGCAAAGGACACCTGCAAGAGCAGACCCTGGGCACCACTGCTGCCCATTTGCAGGCAGCTGCCAGGCTGAGCTCCCTCCTTCACAACGAAGGTGCTGCCTGCGCTCGCTCAACTAAAACTAGAACAAGGCGGGCTTCAGCCAGCCCATCCACGCCTCCAAGCCCACCTGCTTTTTCCAGCTTTCTCAGCTGGTCTAAGAAAGGATCTCACATGCCCCTACAAACCATGCCTCATTTACAACCTCAGACTACCCCAGCCCCAGCTAATGCCATGAAGATCTGCAATGTCAATTAGCGCAGACGGTCATATCGCGTCGGGAGGAGCCAACAGATCACAGCAAATAAGCCTGTTCTTAATACGGGTTGGCTCAGCCAGCTTAGCCAACGTGCATTAAAAGTACATCACCAAAGAAAGGTGTGTCTGTATTAAAGAGAAGTTTTCAATAGTGTAAGTAGGCTTAATAGTAAGTGTAGGCTCACCATAAATCACTTCTGCTGTTCAGACCAGCTGGGGTATCTATCTCTATACTGCAAAACCACCCAAAGCCCAGGCAGACCCGTAGCTTTTACCAAGGAGGAGCAAAGCAAGTTGCTTACAACTGATGCAATTCAGTCTTCACCAGTATTTTTGCTCACAGATGCCAAGTCAGCAACTGTGGAGGGCTTTGCAGCACAGCGCTCATCAGAGAGAGGAGCTGGGTCACCAACAAATACACGCACTTGGAGAAAAAGCATCCTTTTTACACTACTACAACCTCTCTGATCTGTGCAAAGGGAAAACTCAAACAACAATAAATTACAGTGTTTCCACTACCTGGGGGAAATTATAACCACAACTACTGTACAGTCAAGGATTTTATTGCCTAATATTTTAACAAGGGATCCTGGAGAGCACATATTAAATGCAGCCTCTCCCTTGGAGAAAATGAATAAATTGCATCTCTAACTCTCTCAAATCGTAGAAGAGGTTTGACCAATATGAAACAATATGAAATACCCAGCTCAAAAGATCTCTTTCTTGCAAAACTTGTTTATTCTCTTAATCTCTTTCCTGCTCGCTTGCTCTCCTTTTTTTCTTTTTTCTGCACTTGCAATCTCTAGGATGGAGAAAATGGCACAGCTGGGGCAAAACTTTGCAGACATCAAAAGAGCAGCTTGCGTCCAGACAGCAGCCTGATTTTGAGAATTTCTCTGATTCCGATAAAATATTTAGCTCACAGCTGCCCTAACAGAGGTAGAGCAACTGAAGTACAACACCACACATGATGAGCATGACTTAGTAATACAGCATAAACTTGTAACAAGAAAATAACATGGGAATCATAAACAGCATGTTCTTTCTATACAAGCTCTCACACAGCTACATTTAGAGCTATATATGATTTCTAGCTAGTATTTCCCCCCTGAATTGTGAATACCAAAAGAAAATGCTCATGTCTGTAGTTCTCCAGGAAGAGAAGACAGAATGATGGACAGAGAGTGCTGAGGTGTGTTAAAACAAATGAGTAGAATAAGAAGGCCTGCAAGGCAACTACACAAGGAACAAGCTCTATTCGCTATCAATGATCTGCTCTGTGTGGGAGGGAAAAGTATGCTAGTCATAATTTACATTTTGGCAACTTCTCCTGACTCAAACATTAAAAAGAGCTAAGGCACCAGAAAAAAAAATTATTGCTGTGAAAGGACATCCAGTGGTTGTATTTGCAAGGTACCCCCCCTTTCAATTACTGAGCCAAGGGGAAAGGCTGCTAGTTGCTTAATGGGATTTTTTTTTTTTTTTTCAGGAAAACATTAGGAACAACCACCTAAGTTCATAATAGTGTTGAAAAAATAATACTGAAACAAATACAGAAATTGGAAAGAGAAACACTCCTTCCAAAAGTCAAATCTGAAAGTGTCTGCCTGCCATGAGAGGCACAGCATTGGACCGCCATTAGCACATGCACAATCCCATTTACAAAACAAAAAATGCTGCGTGCCAAATCTTCGCAGTTTTGCCACAGACAACATTACCATGGCTACAAAAGTATAGCCTGGAACCCGGTAATTCTCCAAGGAATTCTTGCTGCTGCAGAAAAATGGGTAATAATTTTCTGCACAAGAACTGTACAGTGAGTCCTTATACATGAACACTGCAAACAGGGCCTGATACAAAATCCAGTCCATTTAGAAAAGCTATTCATCCTTTCACTTTAGCGTACCTTAAAGATATGGCCCATGACAAGAAAGATTTATTTGTTTTTTTAAGACCACTGGAACAGTCGTGTCACTACGTTCCCTGATCCGCACAGGCTGCTCGTCAAGTACTCCTGGCAAAGAAGCTTCAGCACTTCCCTTTGGTAAAGCTGAAACCAGGCTCAGCTGAAAGGCACCACAAATCAGAACTGGCACTGAGCTTCCACAGATCACATCAGACCCCAGCAGTTATGGCAAATCTTTATTGCATGCTCCTCCTCCTTCCACCACATCCCTCCTGCCCTGGCAGAAAGCTTCTCACTCAAGGCGCACAACCCAGATTAACGATTCGTCAGGCCGAAGTAGTGTTTTATATGCACAAGGATGGATAAACACCTTTCCCTTGCAAACACTGGAGCTGTAACATCCCCTGGCCATACCGGCTTTGTAGGCTCAATGAGGGCTATGAACAGGGTGAGGCAAAGCAAGAGGAATCAATACCATTTCTGTGCCACGAGGGTTTCTTTGATCAGTGCTTAAATGATGTATGTTTAGTAATAGAACAATTTTAACCTGAAAGGGGATGCAATCTGGGAAGGTGGTTTCTCTTTTATGAGCCCA